AAGAAAGCATTCTTTAAAAATGACTCAAGGAAACATAAAAGTACAGACTTTCATTAATCAGAATTTGTATTTATCTTGGTGTGCCCAGGGCAGGAACATGGCAATACTTGATGCAACAACAGTAACACCTTTATATCCCTTATATGAATATATGTATCCAGTTTATTCAGAAAGGCATTACAATATAATACTCTATATAATCGTGGGACAGTATGCCTCACATTTAAATTAGCAGGTAAACAATGAATGGTGCTTTTAATAATCATTAGGACTGCAGTATATGACATTACCAAGGGTTGTTTTAACAACCCCCACTTAGAATGATCTAATTAGCTGACCATGGAGGGGTGAGATATTTTTTGTACCACTGATGTCACCTCTGATTGCTCTGCTTGCCCATCTGGAAAGATCCGTTGTAGGTGTTAAGGAGTGGTAAGACATAATAAAAAAAAAATAGCATAAAGAAGCATATAAAAATATTTCAGCAATTGTAGGATTATATTACTCACTGGATGTATTGTACGTTTTGATCACTGGCTGCACCCTTTACTGGTAACGTTTTGATCAGATTTTCTCAAGATCAAAATGTTTGCTCACATAGTATGACACCGTTGGGGGCAGTTCTGCTCAGACTGTAATAGGGGAGAGTTTTTTTTGCTTTTTACACTGCTCAACATATTCTCTAGCATCTAATGCAAATACGAATGCAAATGCGAGATGTTGAAGATTAAAAGAATTTGAAAAAAAAGACTGCATTTAAGGCTTTAGATGACCCAATTTCCAGGCATCCATCCAGTGGCTTAGTTGCTCTGGAGGCTTCTGATTGTAGTATTTGTGTATTCAGTGTGTGTGTGTATGTTTGTGAATGTATATGTGTTGTCTGCGCACGCACACAAACATGCAAATGCTGTTTTTGTGTTGATGTTCTTCCTTATTTGCAGCTTTTTTTCCCCCTGCTTGTGTCGGTTGGTATACATCCTTAGATCTCATAAAAAAACAGTGACCTAGATATAATTAACCCCCTCAAACCAGCAGCAAAATGTTATTTAAAAGTGGCACACAACCCATCAAGCTGCTCTGCATGTCAGCACAGAGCTGCTCCCCATGCTAAAGCCTGGGTTCCTAATAGAGCGAGATATCGTGGACTCGCTGCAGCATGTCAAGCTGGCGGCACACAAGTCAAGAGCTCAGAGAAATGTGTAGCAGACAGGTGATGGAATGAATAAGCTTGTCTCAAGGCGGGTTCCTGGCTGATGGGTACTTCACACCAAATAAGCACATTCTAGAAAATAAGAGCTTCTGTTGAAATGAGAATGGGTTATTGAATAGTAGGAAAACAATGAATGCCCTGAAACAGAGATTGAAATGTATTCTTGCTCAGATAGCTGCCTGTAAGAAATTATGGTGTCATTTTCCCGATGGCTAAACATCTCCTCTCATCTCCTTTTGAGGTGAATGAGCATGCACATCATGCACCAACTGTAAGAATCCTCACTAACGCGCAAGATCCTGATTACACTTTCCCTTTAATCTAATAATCAGATTTAATTTTAATTTTTCATTTGATCGTGCATATACGGTAAATGTGGGAATACAGTACACATTCAACTCCAATAGCAGAGTGACCTTTGGACGCTGTAGTTATTACATAGAAAAGACAACCCCATGTGTATTCTATCTGATAAGATCAGTCGTTTTTAATGTTTTTTCACATCCTCCTCATGAGATTGATTTTCTCTGAAGACCCCTTAGAATATCAAGAATCTGTAGCTCATGCATGTATCTGATTGCATTAATTATGAGTTACATCAACTTTTGCTCACATGCTCACAGTATGTCATGAAGTGGCTGCTTAGTCAGAAAAGGGGGAAATGAATTCAAGGATCTAAATGAGGATTGATATAATTACAGATCATTAATGCTACTTTGAAAAGGAAATGATCAACTGTACAAATGAGTAATCATCCTGGTTGGATTCACTCGACTTCATGCAGCACTCTCAGTTGCTAAAAGACGTTTCTAACTCTCAATTAGTTTTAGACAACAATGTTAAGATGAAGTGGCGTTTGGGGGCTGATTAGCTCATTTAAAAAAAAAATTCTCAAATTAGTAGTTGGTGAAAAAGTATGTTTCATTTTTAACTACTGAAATTTATTTGATTTATTTTGGCAATTTACAGAATACATTTGCACTGATTTAAAAGTCATAATTGCAACTGTTATTTGTGATACAGGCATCCACCTTCCTAATGCTGATAAGACCAAGTTTATCAAAGGCACTAAGTAACAGATTGCTCTTCTCTTTTTTTCTCTGATTGTGCAAAAAATAATGACTCTCTCTAGCAGGCTTATGTATTACAAAAGAGCATTATTTTCCGTCTGCTTTTTTCCTTCACAATGCGGCAGAGCTGATGCGTGGTTTCCTCACCCTCCCACTGAGAGGTGTGAACCAAGGGAAGGGAAGGGTAGGAGGCGCAGAAAACAGAACGGTAGACTCCAATAAGCACAATGTCCTCATCTTCCTGTTGTGGAGATCAGAGTTTCCAGTTTCTGTTGAGCAGACGAGGAATTTGTAATCTAATACCCCTGATGTTTTGAATAGTATGCCTAATAAGATAATTAGATGATGGGGTTGTCATGCAGAGCTGCATACTGGTTAGAGCAGGATCTTCATGCACACTCATTAAATCTGCTGATTGTGTTTGATGAATCAAAGAAAAGCCATTCATAGGTTGAGATATGCAAGCAGACAAACTGCGCCTTCAGGGGTATTTTATGATAAAGCTGAAAGATAAACATCAGAACCCTGAGTCTTTTTGACTTTGCAGAGAGCAAGAAGAAGTCTTGTGCATCCTTGAATTAATTAATGGATATATTTTATCATAGAAAATCTTTTCTCGGTCTTCTTCAGAATGGCATCACTGCTGAGAATCCTACTGGCACACAGTCCTACTCTGGGGCTCGGGGATTACATATGCTGCGTACACGTTAAAGCCTCTAAACCCTCGCCTCCGCAGAGCTGATCTGACTGCACAATCATCCCCCTCACTCTCAGCTCCACTCCGTCGGCCACGAGGCCTCCGTCGTCCCAGGATGCCGGCTGCTTACTTCCAGATCAGCAGAGCTCTGCAGTGGCCGCGAAGGTCGGACCATGACTACATTTGTCAGCTTGCCTCTCTGCTCACTGAATCACCTGGGAGTTGACCCTCCAGCTCAGCATCAGTAAATGGGGTCAGAATTTCTGACAGGAGGCCAGATCTTTCTAAATAAATGCATCTTTTTTTTTTTAAATCAGTTTTTTCAAGAAAAAAGTGTCAAAAGAACAATTGACTCACTTAGACGGGCACATGTGCTAACACATACACTTATATTTTTTTACTTTCTCACCTGAATGCACTCCTCATACACACTTAAAATATCACACCCACACGCATCTACACAAACACACAACACATCTGCAATTTCAAGGGGGGAATTGAGAACCTAGAGGCAAGGGAGGCCGTGCAGGGCAGAGCATATTCAATTAGCCCCAGGCACTTCTTCACCCTTACCTATCGTCATTGCATCACATTTCAATATTGTACAGAGGTGTGCCGCCAATGCACTGCTGACACATCAAAGGGCTGCGGCAAATCCACACTCCTCCTCGGAGCCTCACAGCTATGTCACAGCTGTTCTGGGGTAGGTCAGGCAGGCTCAGGGAGAGGCCAGGCTTGACTAAAGACCTTAGCAGACATATTAAAAAAATGGATTTTCTATTTCCCACTTGGATGAGTTGGAGTTTTCAGGCCAGCCTGTGGGTAAGGCTTGATGGTTTCCTGGTCCAGCACGGCATGGTCAGAGCTGAGGGTTAAGGAGAGGGATAATCTGGATCATGAAATGTGTATAACAGATTAGAGTTGCTGCATGAATTTCAAGTGCAGTACTCAGACTACTTTTTCTTTTTGCCTAAAGTTAGTTTTCTGATAATCCTAGCTTCACCATGTTCTCTATCTATGCAGTCGGTCTCTATGCACACCAGGACAGGACTGGGTAAGCAAATAATCAATCCATTCAGCGGGGTATTGACAGATATCCTCAGTTGCATTAATGAATGGGTGGGCATACATCCATGAACAGGAAATAAATAATGACATCCCTTCAGTCTGTCTTTCATCCCTTTTCTGGCTGGTGGATGGAGGATGTCGTTCTCTGAGATCTTCATGGAGATATAGATATATTTGCAGAAGCAGCATTAACACAGCGAGTTCAATTTAAAACATTGTGCTCATTTGTTACCGCCGGGGTTGCCTCCTTACCTCCGCACTGTCTCTTCCCCTCTCTTTTCTTCTTTACTGTTGGCCAAATGAGTTGGGGCCTTAAATTGAATTACATCTTGTATTTCTTCCAGAGGGCTCGCTAATTAAGAATTTAATTATGGCTTAGAGCAAAACACAGGCAACAAAACCCCCTCATGTTTAAAACATGAACACCATCTCGCTCTCTCTTTCTTCCTCCCCCTTTCTGTCCTACTCTCTCCGCTTCCTTTTGCAAGTGTGTGTTTCTAAAAGTTTTGAGGTGAACTGAAGGTAAGACATACACTAAGATGGTAATCAGAAAGGACTATACTAGGAATTCTCAAGAGGGAGCATGAGATGCATGCATGATGATAAAACAGAGTCAAGAAGATGGACCGTAGAAAAGAGAAGCACACTGGATGATGATATTAAAGGTAAAGGCCTGTTTGCTGAGAGTAAAAACTTCCAGTGCCTTAATCCCCTAAATTACAATTAATATTTCATGATAACAGAAATTTGAAATAAGCACAACTTCATTAGTGTCCTGTCTTTTTTACGAAAACTTTCTGCGAGTGCTGCTACAATTATTTATTAATTATGACAATGTCTCCTCTCTTGTGGCGTGTTGCAGAGGGGTTGCCCCGAGGATCGTTCCCCTGCTTGGGGCTCCCTGCTCTGTAGGCCTGTCCTGCTCACCTACTCTACCTTTTCTCCCTCTCACCAGCAGAATCTCTCATCTCGTCTCAGTGGGCCATCCCTCCTGCAGCTATTTGTCACAAGCAGATGTTTGAGAGAACCATGACCTCCAAGTGTGGCTGCCGGGGAATGGGAGCTTGGCGCCAGTTCTGATTGGAAACCTGCAGAGCAGAGGGGGCATGGTCGAGGTGAGTAATACCACCTCCTCTCAGGTTCTGAGGTCAGCTAATCTCCAATGGCAATCAGGAAGGCAATAGAACGAGTGTGGGGTCCCTGAGTGGGGCTGTCCAGGCCCTGACACCGCCGTGATGGGGCCAGACTGGGACTGATTTTCAGGAACAGTTTTTAATGTTTACCCTCAAACTAGCCCACACACACTTGTTATGGGATAAATTGTTAGGTCGACAGGATAGCATAATCCAGAAATGATCTAATGTGGCAAAGATAAGCACGTCATGATGCCTGTAGCATGTAGGGCTGCATTTGAATCTAAACTACGGTAGTTAGACCTCATCTTAAAATATGTGTTAATAAATCTCTGAAAGGAAACAACACTCTGGCAGGAAGAGTATGCTGGTTTCTGTTTCCAGGCTGAGGCCCATAAAGCACTAATGAGCAACATTTGAGGCCGGATTTAACTGCGGGTGAACTGTTCTTCTGAAGCGGGAACAAACGACATTGGCAGAAATATGTTTTGGACCTTTTTAAGGTACCCAAATGGGAAACGGTGGACTTTTGGTTCGCAATAGTTGGATGCAACTGATACTGATTGTGAAAAAAACAAGATTCATCTAAGGTGCCAAAATGGCTCCAAAGCTCCCTGGCATCGATTAATTAGTCAAGATGAATGTTCTTTATTTGTTCCTGTGCGTTTTACATTTTAGAAGGAAGTGCATTTCTCTCTAATGCTCACCTATCCCACAGTAAACACATATTCTGCTTTGGTTTGGTTGCAGGATTTTTGTGCCTTTTTCTTCTTTTTAGATCGACAATCTGGTGTCACTGAGCCTGCTCTTGGTTATGATCTGTTTCTGCTCTCTATCTCTGAAAGAACCGAGATATTCTGCCATTTCATCATTTATTTTTTATTAGAATGCATTTGAATCTACTTGGGCTAATAGTTTTTGACATTGTGTTATAATTTGTTTGACCCTGAAGTGTTGTTGTGAGAGCGGTCAGTTTGTATCCGGGAGGGGGTTGTTCGCCTCAGAATAAACTGACGTTGTGAACTCTTTTCTTGGCTGAGAATTTGGAGCTCATTAGAGTGGAGAGTGTCTCATTGGCTGGATTTAAGGTGGTTATCAAATATGAATCCTCTCTTTAAAATGTTAACTGTTGGGTTTGGTGGTGTTTTTCTGTGTATGGGTTAGATGTGGCTGTACAATTCTGCTTGTAAAGATTATGTTGGATGTTTAACCCAGAGGGTATAGCTAGGTGACTGACGGGACCCCACACTTCTTTATCATACAGAGCAATGGTTGGATTGCACTACCGAATATCAAACTATTTTAAATGCATTTACTGCCACGTCAACACTCTGATGTTGGTATAGTTATAACAATGTGGGCATAACTAATACTATGTTCAATGAATGGGTTCACACACACACACACAAACAAACAAACAAACAAACAAACAAACAAACAAACAAACAAACAAACAAACAAACAAACAAAGAAAGAAACACAAAGGAGCTGATTGTGGATTACAGGAAGCAGCAGGGAGAGGGACTAGCCCCCATCACCACTAATGGGACTACGGTTGAAAGAGTCAGCAGCTTCAGGTTCCTTGGGGTCCACATCACTGAGGACCTGACATGGACTCTTCACACTATCACCAAGAAAGCTCGACGGCGGCTCTTCTTCCTCCGCAGGCTGAGGAAGCTCAACATGGACTCCAGGATACTCTTCAACTTCTACAGGTGCACCATAAAGAGTATCCTGACTGGCTGCATCACGGCCTGGTACGGCAGCTGCACCACCCTCAATCGTAAGGCTTTACAGAGGGTAGTGAAAACTGCAGAGAACATCACCAGGACGGAGCTGCCATCCATGGAGGACCTTTACTCCCAGCGGCTCAGGAAGAAATCCCTCAGGATTATAAAAGACCCCCATCACCCCAGCCACAAACTGTTCAGTCTGCTGCCGTCTGGCAGGCGTTACCGCAGCATCCGGACAAAAACAACCAGATTCAAAGACAGTTTCATCCCACAGGCAATAAGATTGTTAAACAACTGAACTGCTGAAACGATTTCATAACATTAATCTGCTACTTAGTCATTATTTACCTATTATCTAATATATCATTCCAATAACTTGTATAGACTCGTTTGCACTATTCCACTTTTTTTCTCTCACTTTTTTAAAACTATTTTTCTTTTGTAATACTTTCAATATAGTATATTTTAATATTGTCTGCTTATCTGTATTATTGTGTTGCATTGTTGGAGAAGCCTGTGACCTAAGATTTTCAACGACATAATTACTCTGTAGCTATGTTAGTTTGACAATAAAGAACCTTGAACACACACACACACACACACACACACACACACACTATTTCCCAGTGGCCAATTGCATATCATTTTTGCTGAAATCGGACAGAGGTAAAAACAAGAGGACATGTTGTGGGCCAAGTAACTGTTGTTCAGTACATAATGAGCTACATTCCTCGGTAGTCATTGTGATGTTGGATTTTAAAATGCGCTCTGTAAAACAAATTGTCAAAAAAGTTGCTTGTATACAGGGAAAAATGTGTTGGCGTCTAATCAAAACTACACAGTTTAGCTTTTTTTAAATGAGCAAGCGGTCAGTGAGGAAAATAATAGAGCTAAAATACAAGCATTCACTGTAACGCCATAAACAACATTTAAATAATATCACATGTACAAAACATACATAAATCTCACCAGGTGGCTCAGATTCTAATAAATTACAATACACAAATAGGGTCAGCAAAGGAGACATTTAGGTTAGTTTTTATGGCAAAGGATAACATATTAGAGAAGAAGAGTGTAGCTCCAAATGTGTTTTGATGTAGGAAGGGGAATTTTCAGTATGTATCAAACTGATATTCTGTTATGCAGTGTAAATGTAATACAGAATACACATGCTTGTTAATGGCTGAGTAAAAGGACTGTGAGTGCAAAATATATTCCAAACATATCCAGTCACTTCATCATTTTCAAGATCATTAATATGTGTAGCGGACCACATGCAATGAAAAAGTGATTTAAAATCACAGTGCAATATTTGAGCCAAAATGCAGTTAAAGACCTTCAACCCTGCAGAGTAATTGTATTACGTTTAACTATCCATGTCTTATGAGTTGCATTTACAAACTGCGGTAACACCTTTATAGTTACAGATCTGTTTTGCATCTCGTTATATATTTAACAGAACTTGCCTTCATTACATAACTTTTGCATCACCGTTGTTTTAATAATAATCCATGTGAGCAGCTTGGAGATTGCAGATCAACTTCTGTGATTATAAAGACATGTAGAGAAATCATTTGATACAAATGGAGCTCAAAAGTAATAAGGTGATTACTCAGACTCTACCACAAACAGTGAAGATGTACATTCATACTATTAAAACAAAGCTCTCTTACTCTCTGTCTTCATAAGCAGATTCCTGCCGTTGTGGCTAAAGTATCATATTTTGCATTCTTAAAGAGGCATGAGGAAATGTGGTGTGACAAATTCCTTTAATGATATCACATACGGTAAATCATTAACGGATGCATTTGCTGAATAGTATTCTAACTTCCATAATACAGATAATGAAGTATTGATGCACACGCATAGACAATGATTGTATAATTAATATGTTCTGAAATCAGTCATTAATTAATAGAAAGGTTGCCATGCACATAATTCTCTGATTTAATCTATTAAGCCTTGGATTTCAGAGTCAAATCATCCTTGCGTGAAACCACTTTGAATTTGAATGTGCCCTTTCACGAGCTGTTGTTAGCATTTACGCCTACCCTTGTCCTTCATTTTGTGGATCTCACTTTGGTTTAATGAAGATTATTAGGCAGGAGCTGATGACGAGTCTATTTCCCTGGTCTTGATTCAGCTGTTTCTCCATCTGGTGTTGGAGCACCTGGGGTAAGCCTTCATCTATAAACAGCTTTCCGCGCCTTTCCAAGGCTCCCTCTGTTAGCTGACTTTCCATTTTTGTACGCATTGTTTTCTTCCCTCTACTTCTGCTTCTATGGTATCTCCCAAACCTTTCTGTTTGGACCTCTGAACTATTTCTAAAGGTTCAGCACAAATCTTGCATCCAGGAAAAACTAAGATCTTAAATACTTACGCATCTACATAACAATTGCTGTTCCAAAACTACTCTGAAGATCTATTTAAGTAAATGTTTTGATTTTCCTAACATCAATATGTGCACTGAGCACTGATCTGGCGACTGCAATTGGAACTTGCCTCGTGAACAGCCTGAGATGCCAGATTTGAGCACAGAGCTCCTCAGCTTTAATGAACACTACAGATGTGTCGAGCAGGGGATGAGGGAGAAGCCGACGGCGATGTAAACAGCAGCCAATTACCTGCCTGGATGACGATTCTTTACTCCTGCTTAGTGCATACACGTGAACAGGCCAGAGCATCTGCTGCGAGGCCTAGCCCCAGTGTACTACACACACCAATATTAACACCATGCTGCATCTCAAGCATGTATTTCATTCATTGTCACTTCTTTCAGGTTGTATACCTCAGTGGTTTTCACACAAACGTTTATTATGATCCTTGTTTATATTGTTTTAATTTAGAATTTTGATTATTTAGTGATGGTGGTCTTTGGTGCTTTTGTATCACATTGGACATGCATTGGAATACAGATGCAGATACAAACACATTCAAATAAATTACAGCGACTGACTGAAAAAGAAAAAGAAATGTAGCGATTGTTTTTATTATAATGGATATGTTTCAGTTTTGACCCTTGTCCCACATGTTTACTACTCTGTTTCTGTTCTCATTATAATTGTTCTTAGGCATTATTAAGCAAGACCGACACAATACGATTAAACAGTCATGAGTCAAACAGGGAGAAGTAGTGAGAAAGAAAGAGAGAAAGACTTGCCATCTGGATGTCTCCTGATCTTACCCTCAGGCGAGATACCGATGTGAAGGGCTGCCCTGCTGTCATTTAGATGCTGTATAGTTT